ATAGATAGATAGATAGATAGATAGATAGATAGATAGATAGATAGATAATGTAATAGCATTGCCTAGGGAATTGACAGGATATGTGACTGGCTCATGGTCACAGAGCTACTGTGTGTGTCCAGAGGCAGGCCTGGAACATAGGTCTTCCTACCTCCAAGGACACCCCTTTATCTTCTATATCACACTCTCTCAATTTATTTTACCATCTGAAAAGAAAAGGGAGAAGTCATAGAGTCACAGCATATTAGAGATGGAAGGGCCCTTAGAGATAATTTAGTCCAACACCTATGCTTTATAGATGATTGGCACATAGGCCCACAGAAAGCAAAGATCCCACTCATGTTCATACAGCTAATTTGTCATCAAATTGGGACTCAACACAGACTGAAAAACAACAACAAATGAGCTATTTTGAAAGACTGAATTGCAAGGGAAAGGGTGAAGACAATCAGAGGGTATGTTCACCCTTGTGCCTATATTTGTACTAAAAGAACTAGAAATCTGTTCCTAAGGCCCAAATTGTTCATCCAGAGAAGTTCTCCCAGGTCCTTCTGGGATGTGTTGTTGACCTTTGGCTATTTTCTGGTAGAAGCAAGGTGGCAATATGTAAACTCATACTTGACGACTGATGCTGTAAATCTGAGTGAATAAAGGAGAAACAGTAAAGCCAAACTTCTTACATCATCTGCTGTGTTGGTCACAGGATTTCAGTAACAATTTAAAGGAAATGCAGTGTCTATTTTCTAAAATATCAAAAGATGGAGATATTACTCCATGAAAGATGCTTTTCCTTGCTGTAAATGAAATATAATCTTTCCAACTTTGAAGGCCAAAAAATAAAAACTTTTCTTCAGACAGGATTAAAAAAAATGACACAAAGGCAGGTTTACAAGAAGACCTATATACCCCTAATATTCCTTTTTAAATTATTTTTCAAAACCTGTCTTTTTTTGATGCTAGGATTATTGTTTTTCAAAGAATTAGTCAGTCAATAATCAATAAGCATGTATTATTAAGTGCCTACTATGTGCCAGGCACTGTGCTAGGTGATGGGAATGCAAAAACAAAATAGTCCCTGCCCTTACAAAGTTTACATTCTTTCTGGGAAGAAAACATGCACATATATAAGTAGAAGGACACAAATAACTGGAGAGAAGAAAGACTTAAAGGAGCTTGAGCTTGAGCTGAGTGTTGAGGCAGACTAAGGAATCCATGAAGTGGAGGTGAGGAGAGAGTACATTCTAGATCTACAACTAGAGAGAAAGGAAATGAACGGCCATGTATGAAGAATAGCAAGAAGCCCACTTTCACCAGATCTTGAGAAATGTGTCAGGGAATAAAATAATATGTACTAAGCCTGGAAAGACATGTTGGGGCCAAGTTATGAAAGGCTTTAAAAATCAAACAAAGGAGTTTATATTTGCTCCTATTACTAAAGAGCTACTTGTTACTCAGTTGCATCCAACTCCTCGTGACCCCATTTGGGGTTTTCTTGGCCTTTGCCTAGAGTGGTTTGTCATTTCTTTCTCCATCTCATTTTACAGGTGAGGAAACTGAGGCAAACAGGGTTAAGTGACTTGCCCAGAGTCACATAGCTAGTAAGTGTCTGAAGCCACATGTGAACTCAGGAAAATGAGTCTTTATGACTCCAGGCCTGGCACTCTATGCACTGTGGCACCACCTAACTGCCCCAGGAAGCCACTGGAGTTCATCAAGTAGGAGTGTGACATCATCAGACTGACACTAGGAAAATCACTCTGGCAGCTGTTTAGAGGATAAATTGGAGTGGAGAGAGTCTTGAAGCAGATAGACCAATATAGGAAGTTAGATCTTAACTCCTAAATGTCCACAGTGTGTCTCTGTGTCCCAACAGCACCTCAAAGTCAACATGTCACTAACTCCAAAGGTGAGTTGATTAAGAGGATTTATTTCAGGATGCTTCTGTTTCCTTCTCTGGAAACACAATCTCCCTCCTAGAGGAGGAGACCTGGGAAGGAGGGGAGTCCTATGTTTTAGAAATGTTCCCTACGTTCCTATCTCTGTTCATCTTCAGACAACACTACCCACATTCATCTTCTGAAATAAAACACAAACTCCATTGTTTGGCATTTGAAACCCTTCACAATCTGGATCCATTCTATCTTTCCAGACTGATTTCATGTCTCCCCTTCTTCCTCACCTCCATTTCATGTAAACCTTTAGTTCCATTCAGGTCTCAGCTCATATACCACTTCTCTCAAGAGGCCTTTTCTGATTCCCCTATTTGTTAGTAGTTCTCCTCCAAATCACATTATATTTTATATATACACACATACGTATGTATGTATATCCTGTATTTACTTATTTATGGACACCCAATAGAAGGTATGCTCCTTGAGGACAGGGACCATCTCATTTTTTCCTCAGCCCCTATTCGAGTAGATGGTTTGTATGTAAAGTGCTACAAAAAGGCATCAAGGACATGACTAGAGATGGGCAATATAAAAGACAAACAGAGTATAGATAGCTCTGCTATCCACAAAATATTAAGGCCTAGAGCAGGGGTTCTTAACCTTTCTATGTGTCATGGACCCCATGGGAATCTGGTGGGTCCCTTTCCAGAATGTTTTCAAATATGTAAAGGAAATGTTAAATTTCAGTTAGAAGTTAGTAAAAATAAAGATTGGATTTTTTTCCCAACAAGTTCAGAGACCCACTGAAATCTTTCCACAGACTCCATGTAGTTCTGTGGACCCCAGGTTAAAAACTCCTGGCCTAAAAGAAAGCTTCCTATTCATTGGGTAGATTTGCCTTTGTATCCCCAGTACTTAGCATAGTGTCTGACACATAGTAGGAGCTTAATAATGCTTGCTGATTGACTGCTAGTCTTTATGCAAACAGAAAGCCTTCTTAATTCCCTGCAGTCTCACACCCATGACCCATATTCATCCGTTTCCCAAAACCTTGTCCTTCTCTGCAGTATCCCAATACTTTCACTCCTTTATTCACCAGGTCGGTGGATTGAAGATCACGGAGTCATTCACAACATGATGTTTAACACAGAGACACTCCAGAAGTACTCCTTCAAAGACACACAGAAGAAGTCGGAGTGGTGGGACAATGGTGTGCTCCCTCTCTGGATCACGGCCCAGAGGCAGGTACTGTCCAAGTCTCTAGGAGAACTGCCAGAGACCACACCTCTTATGTCTATGGCTAAGAGAAAAGGGAACTGGTTGAGGGAGCAGCCAAATGACAACAATCCATTAACAGTATGGTGACCATATGTCCCTGTTCCCTTGGGATTGACTCCATTTTGATCCATGATCCCAGGAATAAGTTCCAGTTTTGAGGAATAGCCTAGTGAACATTGCCTCACATCACTGACCCCACTTTTTTCAGTAGGCCCAAAGGCTAGACTTCAATATGACTGGAGTATTCTGAAACTGATTTATCTTATGCAAATCAACAAATACTTACTGAGTACCTACTACGTACAAGGTACTACCCTAGCTAATGAACTATAAATATGAATAATATGTGGTTTCTGACCTCAAAGGGCTTTAACTGTAGTTGTTAGAATCTGGGGTAAGGGCTAAGGGAATGGGAGAGAAATATATATTTATATGTATGTACGTGTATGTGTACATACTATACATATGTGTGCATGTATGTGTGTATATATATGATTATTAAACTTTACCTGAAATACACTTAGCCTCACACGCGTATGTGTTATATTTATATGTAATACATATTACACATACATTGTATATATTATATTTATGTATTATATCTATATATTACATATTACATATATTACCTATAACACATATAATATATATTTCTAAATAATACATATATTACATGTAAGGAAAGAAGGTGGGATGTGGGTCCCATATGTGTAGTGAGGATCCACGTGTAGCAAGGATGTTGTCCTTGCGTGTGGCTCAAAGGGAGGCAGAATAGACGTCTCTAGTCTCCCTAGTGAAGTGGATACATGAGAACAGTGTGTTCCAATGGCCATAACGGAGGCTAAAGCAGGCACTGTGGAGCAATTAGAGCTTGGTCAGACATCAAAGATGATTTTGTGCAATTCTGCCTCACTTAAATCCAATTCACAAGCAAATCAAGACATCACTCTCATGATGTCATTGGTCATTTTAGAAAATGAAGGATAATACACATCATTCCCCAAAAGTATATATATGAACAAGCAGTATTCAGATGAAGAAATTAAAGCTATAGTCTATAGTCTATCTATAGTCATATAGTCTATCTATAGTCATATAAACAAATGCTCTAAATCACTATTGATTAGAGAAATGCAAATTAAAACAACTCTCAGGTACCACTTCACACCTATCTAATCGGCTAATACGACAAAAACAGAAAATGATAAATGTTGGAGAAGATGTGAGAAAATTGGAACACTAATGCATTGTTGGTGGAGTTGTGAACTGATCTAACTATTCTGGAGAGCAATTTGAAACTATGCCCAAAGTTCAACCAAACTGTGCATACCCTTTGATCCAGCAATACCACTACTAGGTCTGTATCCCAAAGAGATAATAAAAGAGGGGAAATGACCCTCATATACAAAAATATTTATAGCAGCTCTTTTTGTGGTGGCAAAGAATTGGAAACTGAGGGGACGCCCATCAATTTGGGAATGGCCAAACAAGTTGTGGTATATGAATGTAATGGAATACTATTGTCCTATAAAAAATGATAAGCAGGCAGATTTCAGAAAAACCTGGAAAAACTTACAAGAACTGATGCTGAGTGAAGTGAGCAGAACCAGGAGAACATAGTACATAGTACCAGCAACATGGTAAGACGTCCAACTTTGATAGAATTAGCTCTTCTCAGTAATACAATGATCTAAGAAAATTCCAAAAGACTCATGATGGAAAATGCTATCCATATCAAGAGAAAGAACAATGGAGTCTGAATGTAGATGGAAGCATACTATTTTCTCTTTTTTTGTTGTTTTTTTCTTTCTTGTGGTTTTTCCCTTTTGTTCTGATTCTTCTTTCACAACATGACTAATGTGGAAATATATTTAAAATGATTGTACATATATAGCCTCTATCAGATTGCTTGTTGTCTTGGGGAGAGGGAAGGGAAAGGAGGGGGAAAAAAATCGGAACTCAAAATCTTATAAAAGCGAAAGTTGAAAATTATCTTTTCATATAATTGGAAAAAATAAAATACTATTAAGTTGAGGGGGGGAACAAAACAAAAAAAAAGTCCTTACCTTTCAAGCTAAAAGACTGTTTCCAGGTTAGGAGGAAAATCTAGGACTTGTCCCATGAATGAGAATTCCCTAAGGATATCCAAGTAGTTATTCACCTGTGTCCTAAAAAAGGAAGAAATCAGACCTGGGCAGGCTTTCCTTGATCACTAACCCCCAGTTAGTGGGGTTAAATCTAAATCTAAAATCTTTCACTTTGCTACCAGTTATAGCATCAGAATTGTGACTACACATCATCCTTCAAGAGATACTGGTAAAGAAGACTACCTTTTGTTCTCTCCTTTCAGTCTAATGCCTTAGCTCTGACCTTCAAAAAAACCATCACGAATTTTTATCCTAAAGGATGCTTTTCACTTTGGTATTTGTTGAACTGACGTCAGACAACCAACATTTGTAGAGACTCTTAGGGGAGTTTCAGGTCCCAAAGATGAGTCTCTCTCACCTCATATTCATGCTATTCCTACTTGCTAGATTCCTCCCTCTTGTACCCTTTCCCTTTATTTTTGGACTTAAAATACAGAAAATGAGAAACAAGTATTCTCTTTAAATAAATTAAATTATATCTAAAAACACTAGTCCCAAAGTTTTAAACATAGCATGACAGGCTTTCTTCATGGTGTAGTAGAAAGAATACCAAGTCAACAAGCATTTATAAAATGTCTACTTGTGCTAGGCACAGTGCAAAGCTCTGGGGATAAAGAGAAAAGCAAAAAAAAATTGTCCCTGCCCTCAAGGAGCTCACAGTCTAATGGGGAAGGGGGAGACAACATGCAAAGAACTATGTAAAAACAAGATATATACAGGATAAATCATAGATAATGTCAGAGGGAAGTCACTAGCATTAAGGAGGATAGGGAAAGCCTTGCAGAAGTAAGAGTTTAAATGAGAATTGAGAGAGAATTGAGAGAGAAGGGAGAGAATTCCAGGAGTGAGGGACAGGTGGTGAAAAAGCACAGAGCTGGAAGATCAATTGTCTTGTACAGGGAACAGCAGGGAAGCCAGTGTTCCTAGATCAGACAGTATATACATGGATGGGAACAAAGTGTATGAAGACTGGAAAGGGAAGAAGGGTCCAGATTATGAAGGGTAAAAGGAAAAGAGAAGAATTTAAATTTGATCTTGGAGGTAATAGGGAGCCACTGGATTTTACTAAATACATGAATGACATCATCAGACCTGAGCTTTAAGATAGTTTTAACAGCTGAATGAAAGATGGAATGGAGTGAAGAGAGTCATGAGGCAGAGAGACCAGCCAGAAGGCCAAGCATAAAGTCCTGCCCCAGAGTGGTAGCAGTAGCAGACGAAAGAAGGAGGTGTATAGGAGAGATGTTACTAAAGTAGAATCAAAACCAGACTGAAAGTCAGAGGAACCAGATTCTGTTCTCGACTCTACCACTCTAGAGAACTATGTGACCTCAGGTAAGATACTTCATCTCTTTCTGCCTCCATTTCCTTATATATAAAATGAGCTGATGGACAGAAGATTTATAGTATGTTCCAACTCTAGCATTCTTTAATCCTCCGGACTTTTAAGTGGGACTTGAATATTTTTCCTTAATTTAAATTCAAATCCTTAGGCCTCTCTGTTCTCTTACTCTGGCATTATTCCTTTGCTGTCATTTGTCTTATTCATAGTATTTGTCTTATTGTCATTTGAGGAGTTCCAGTGGGTTTTTTTTTTCCTTCTACACATCACTCATATGCTGAACTTTCTTCCTCTTTACTGAATTTGTAAGTGGCTGTACAGAAAGAGTATCTGGTAGGAAAAGGATGAATTGATGACTTGCCATTCATTTGGCAGGTGAATGTCAAATTATTGCACCTTGCTCAACTGTCTACGGACTCTGCCACAGAGCCAGGGCAGATAGCCAGTTCCCTCAGGAGTGAAAGCAAAATTTGCCACAATTAGTGTGAACTCATGGCCATAGGTCAATTTCCTAAGAACAATAATCCTGCATGTCCCAATTTGGCTTTTGAGAGCATGTCCATATTGTCAGACTAGCCTCCTCCATGGCTGAGCTGAGGGTAGCTTGCATCATCTCTGTCTTCAGGAAATCCATCCCTTCACGGAGTCTATTCCAGATGAATTTCATAGGACTGATGCAGTAAACTAATTTGGTTGAAATATTTTGCCCTCAATGAGACTAATATTGCAGGAGTCTATAAAGATGCATGGAAATTGATGGGCCTTTGGTGGATGAAGTTTAAATAATGATTGAGTCCCCGACTGCCTTTAGGAGTGGACATCTCATCAGTCACAGCACACAAGTGAATCTATGTTCTGGCAAGACCTTGCTAATGGTCAGGTACAAAGAATGAGAGAATTTCATTTGGAGCAGGCCCAGACTTTAAATGAAGGCACAATGAAAAGAATGTGATGAATGGCAGGGATATTTCACAAAGTTCTAAATTCCTGATCCTCAGAGAAACTCATCCAGCCATGGCTATAAGACTCAGAAACTATAAAGACATAAAGGAATGTTTCGCCTGTGTCCAAAAGATTTATATGGAATGTTAATAGCGGAAAAGGGCAGAAGGGATAAGCTAAGTAATAGAATCACAGTTGATAAGTATCAGTAATAGGATGGCATTAGGTTACTACCAAGGGGGGATTTGAATCATGTGTAAAGTCTGACAGCCAGATTTTCATTTCCTAGCACTAACCAAATCTCCAAGAAAATCCCATCCTAACTCAGTGAAGCAGGAAGCAAGAAGGTGCCAACAACTTCAGCTTGGAAGAATGTTAATGCCTATATAATGCATCTCTATGTTGGCCAAAGTCCTCTACTTATTGTGAATAATAAAGGCACTAAAGATAATGAGCCGACCTCTATTTAAAAAAAAAATTTGGAATCAATCCTTTAGATTCAATACTACCCATCCAATTTGAGAAGGCTGAAATGGAGCCAACAGTCCAGAAAGAGGGGCTGCTAGATGCAATGGATGGAGTACTTGCCCTGGAGTCAGAAGAGATTTGAGTTCAAATCTGACTTCAGACACTTATTAGCTGTGTAATCCTGGGCAAGTTACTTAACCTCTTCTCAGCCTCACTTCTACATTATCAAGCTGTTCTTAGGCCTTGCTAAAAAAAAAAATCAGGCATTGAAAATAGTGCCACTGACCCCTGAAAAGGAGAGGTAGACAAAGTATAAAACCAATATGGAATCCTATTAACATATTTGTTCTGAATAATTTAACTCTATCAGGAGAGAATGCTGGAGCTTAGAAGTAAAAATCAGCAACACTCATTTTAAATAGCAGTACAAAAGGAAGAGGAAGAGAAGAGGAGGAGGAGGAGAAACAGAATGAGGAAGAGGAAAAAGGGAAGGAGGTAGGAGAGAGGGGGAGGAGGAAGAGGAGGAGAAATAAAAGAAGAAGAAAAAGAAGTACTAGTAGTAGCAGTCATTGTCATAGTCACTGTCTCCATCATCCAGGGAAAGTAAATTTATGTTGAAGATCACAATATACTATCTTTTAACAGCTGTAATCTTCTATGCTTATTGCTAATTGGCATGAAAAAACTACCTAGTAGATGGCTCTGGAAACTCAAACAACCACACAAATTCTAACATCAGGAAGCAGTTTCTGTGGTACCACTATAAGTTAAATAGACTAAAGCATTCAAACACCCAAAAGTAAGAGTTTACGTAACCACTGTCATCATTTTGATTAAAATGAAAATGAGATGTTTTGGAAGCAAGATATCTCTCACCAGTAGGCAGGAGACCAACTCAACTGTGAATACAACTAAGGAAATGGGCACAAATAGCTTCCAAGCTGCTTTCCATGCCTTTCCTCAGAACAAGAAAAGTTTTGATTTTGAACCTTGGGTGTAGTTGTCCACTTTCACTTACTGACCAAATTTGCAAGCACCCAATTCCTTCTAATACACAACTCCCTCTGTTCCCTCAATTTTGCTCACAAAGGTAATATTCTTATTCCCATCGTCTTCTCAACACCTACCCCACCCTCAGTCCAATGCATGCTTTTGGTTTGAGAGTATTTTTCAACATTTTCAAATCCAAGGTGATGTGGAAAATGTTGCACATTTGTCCTTCAAGTTAATTTTTTTATGGGGGAGGAGGGAATGACCAGACCTATGACTTAAATCATCAGTGTAAGGTACTTGTGATATAGAAATATCCTCTATTGGCACAGATCAGCAACTCATCTTTAACTGCAAGTCTTAGAGAATTTACTAGGGGCATTGATGGGTTAGTTACATGACTTGCCTATTGCCCCAGAGCTACTAGAGATCAGAGTCAGGACTTCAACCTAGATTTTCCTATCTTCAAGGCTATCCCTTTATCCATTCCCACTATACCACATTGCCTCTTCAAACTAACATTCTAGCTAAAACCAAAGAAAACTGCTCCTCTCAAAAAAAAAAAGAGTTGAAGTGATTGTTTTAAATCATTTACATTCAGGTGTACTATTGGAATGATCGGTGTATCATGGAAGAAATTTGTGCTATGCCTTTGTTTATCACTGAAAATCAAGTAATGTTTAATTATCTCTTTTTTGGACAAGATGGGAAATTTCATTAGCATAAGGTGCCCGAGGAAGAAACTCCTTCGACCCATATGGATCAAGACCTTCTCTGCAATTTAAGTATATTAAGAGAGTTTATTTGGGACACTGAGAGATTAAGTGACTTACCCAGGATCAAATAATCAGTGAGGAGTACTTAAACCCAGATTTTCCTGACATCTTCCAACTCTGGGAATTTTCACTGGCTATCACTCATGACTGGAACTCTCTCCCTCCTACTCTCTACCTTTTGGCTTCCCTGGCTTCAAGTATCAAAAAAACCCCACCATCTGCAAGAAATCTTCCCCACTTCTTAATCTCAATGCCTTCCCTCTGAGCCCACCTCCAATTTATCCTGTCCATATCATTTTGTATATAGTTGTTTGTATGCTGTCTTCCCTATTAGACTGTGAGCTCCTTAAGAGTAGAGACAGGGGCAGCTAGGTGGTGCAGTGGATAGAGTACCAGCCTGAAGTCAGGAGGTCCTGAGTTCAAATACAGCCTCAGACCAAACCCTTGACACTTACTAGCTATGTGACCCTGGGCAAGTCACTTAACCCCAACTGTGTAAAGATAAAGTACTTCAAAAAAAAAAAAAAGAGTAGAGACAGTCTTTTTCCTTTGTATCCCCGATGCTTAGCACAATGCCTGGCACATACTAGGTGCTTAATAACCGCTTGTTGACTTGACTCCTGAGCCGGCTCTCTGGCTGCAGCTTCTCTCTGCCGCAGCTTCCTCTCACGTTTACAAAAACAGATACAGTTCTCTTCTAATGGCTAATGCAGGCACTTAGATTAGATCTAGTCATTTTCATAGTTCTATCACTCTGAAGCTACATTTGTCATTATTATTATTAACCAAAAGAGCCAAAGAAATAGCCACACTGAGCTACAGCTTAGCCACACACCAAAGCTGCAGCCACACTACATGCCCTCAGTGAGTTTAGTACAACGTGGTATTCTGATACAGAAACTGGAGGTCTTAAAGAGTGGCTGGTCATATTTAAAGGAATCAGAGAGAGATACCTAAGCTCAGGGTCTTAAATATAAGAAAGATCTTTGTGGTAATGATACAAGAAACAAGAATGAATGCCTGGAGGAAATAGCAGTATTATTAAAAATAGGACAGAGCCCTCTCTTGTCTAGCATGGGTCAGATGCAGTTCTGCCTAGAGCAAGACAAGTAATGAGATGACCTATTCAGGACCTTTCCCACATGAGAACTTTGTGAAATCTAAGAAGCACTTGAATAAAGTAAGTTTTCATGGCTTAGTTAGGCAGAAGACCAACCAAACTCTTGCAATGTGTATACTGTAAATAGCCTAGAGAGGGTTAAAGAAAAGAAGGACTATAAAGTCATATTCCATCTATAACTTGTCTGTGTGTCCAGCTATAGACATCATTTCAAGCAATGTTCCTAATGATGCCCAAGTTTGTTTTGGGCTAAGGACATGCTTGCATATTAAGCAAATTTATAGTAAAGGACCAATTACTTACAGTTTGCGTCTTTTGAATATGACATAAAAAATGTTCCTGTCAAATCATGTTCAAAAATCATCTCCTCTTATTTATAGGGAAGGAAAACTGCTTCATTCCACTTTCCAGGGGGAGGAGCAAACTACAGTGGGGAAGCTGTGCAGAGGTCTCTCTTGGAGTCCTTTACCCATCCTAATGACAATGAGACTGAATGGAGGGAAAACATTGACATCATCATGAATTGGTTCACCAAGGAGAATTTCGATTTTGTAACCCTTTACTGTGGAGAACCTGACAATGTTGGGCATATGATAGGCCCTGAGACAGAAAACAGAAGACTTATAATCCAGCAAATTGATAGGACTATTGGTTATCTAGTAGAAGCCATTGAAAAGAATGGCTTGAAGGACAACCTCAATGTCATCATTACATCAGACCATGGAATGACCACAGTGAAGAAGCAGCCTAATGTTACAGAGATCTTACTGAAAAACTACATTAAATTCAGAGATTTGGTGAAATTTGATATACTGGACTATGGCGGTTTCGGCATGATTCTTCCCAAGCCAGGGAAAGAGGAAGACATTTACAATGCATTAAAAAATGCACATCCTCACTTAAAGGTATATAAGAAAGAAGAGTTTCCAGAGCATTTCCATTTTGCCAAACACCATCGTATTCTACCCATCTTGGTTTATGGTGATCCTGGCTACAACATTAATGGGGTAAGTTTGTTCTAAAATATGTGGGTTTGAGGGTAAATTGAACTCAATTTTTAAAAAATTATTGAAGAGCTACTATATATTAGGCACAAATAACTAAGAATGAGTCCTTGATGTACAAAAAAAAAATTTATAATGGGAAGAGCAGCCTGGTACAGTGAGGAGACAATGTAGTATAGTGAAAGGAATATCCATATGGAGATGTCCCACAGGCAGCTGGAGATCTGAGCCTAGAACTCAACAGAGAAGAGGAGAGGGTTAGAGATACAGGTTTGGGAACCTGCATAGATGCCGGTGTTGAAGTCATATGAATTAATTAGATTGCCAAGGGAGAAAATAAACTAAAAGAGGCCCAGGGACAGAATCTGGGGTACATGAAGCTTCAGACAAAAGACAGGGGCTCCCTCAAGATAGGTTTTTCGATTAGCAATTGACAAGAGTCTTTTTATGAAGTTTTGGCTTGAGGACCCTGAAATTCATGCAACTAGCTTAAAGGAATCATATGTTCCATTTTCAGTTTTGCACAGGAATTCAGGAAACTCAATGGTGTGCCTTTCTGCTCAATCATGAAATGAGTTCTCTCTCTCTCTCTCTCTCTGTTTTATTTTTTTTTTTTTTTGCTTTTTGGTGAGGCAGTTGGGGTTAAGTGACTTGCCCAGGGTTACACAGCTAGTAAGCATCACGTGCCAGATTTGGACTCAGGTCCTCCTGATTTCAAGGCCAGAGCTCCATCTATTGTGCCACCTAGCTGCCCCATGAGCTCTCTCTTTACATCCCTACCCGTGATTAATAAAACACAGCCACCCTCTTCACTCCATCCCATCTACTCTCCAAAAGCAGATTACCTCTAGACCTATGATTCCCTCAGCACCAAGCAGGGTACCCTGTATGTAGGAGGCACTTAATAAATATTTGTTGAACTGAACTGAATTGAACTGAATTGAATTTTTTGGTTCATAGCCCCCTTCATGAAATCAAAAGATCATTTTCCTCTCTAGCTTATGTTAACAAGTGGAAGAAAAATTATCACCAAATAGTAGTGTTTTTAATTAGACATGAATATGCTTGGTGAAGTCTGTTTTTTACTAAACACTGACTAAATAGAAATTCATGGTCCCAGAACTACAATTTCATCTGTGTGTAGAACTCCCAGTGTGGAAATTCCCTCCACTGATGCAATAGCAACTAATTTGTAATGTACAGTCTTAAAGAGTTACCTGGAATACTGGAGTTACCTGACTATAAAGTCACAGGACTTGTGTCCTAGTCCTACCTCAGATACTGACTACCTAGGTGACCCCTGGGCAAGTCCCCTAGACCTCAGTTCCTTCATGTCAGGATTGCATACTGGATAGGGCACTGCACTTTGAGTCCAAAAGACCTGGGTTGAAATCCACCCTCAGACACTTACTAGCTCGGTGACTCTAGACAAGTCATATAACATCTCTGTAAAATAAGGGCACTAGACGTGGCTTTCAAGTTATTTCCAGTTCAGAATCTATAATCATATTATTTGCCAACAAGATAGATAGATACATAGATAGATAGATAGATAGATAGATAGATAGATAGATAGATAGATAGATAGATAGATAGATAGATAGATAAGAC